CCATATGGTGAATAGTATAGAGAAATAGTGTAGGGAATAGTATAGAGAATAGCGATTTGTATAGTAATAGAGGATAGCGTAGAAATAGTGATCAATTAGATGCCACAATAATTCCCATATATACATTTCCTTTGCTATCACATAATCTACTTATTCAAAATGGGATTGCCTGTGTTTACTCTCTGGCTATCTATGTTCAAACTAGTGTCACTAGCAAAACTTTATTCCTATGTAACAGTGTGCTACCTACCATTACCTTTTTGCAGTGTTCAGTTGACTTTTGGCACATCAGTGTATATACACATGCTCAAGAACACACATGCATTTCATAATAGAGAGTAGAAAATCATGTATAATTTGGTGAACAACTTTCAACCAAAACATTGTCTTGATAGTTGCAGAAATGTATTTAAGAGAGAGAAAAATAACTTACATATTTTATACTAAGCTATTTTGAGAATTTAATTTTTATGTTCAAGTGCCAAAATTTAAAGCATGTGGACACTATTCAAAAAGAAGTAACTAACCTCAATTCCAAGAGACATTTGTTTTTAATAACTCACTAGCCCAAAATAATTGAATTAAAATGTCCAAATCAAATGAACAAACCTTGTCTATTTTCTTACTTTTTTTCCTTTTTTTAGTTGTTGAAAAAGAGAGAGAGAGAGAGAGAATGAATTGTGTTATTGAGTTACAAGATTTAGAAAGGAGTTGTGGATAGATAGGTAGTGAAAATCAAACATCATTGCAGGAATAAAAACAGAAAAACATATTGTTTTTCCAAGGATTATCAAAATGAGTGAATTGAAGTGTTTGATCATTTGAGCCATGGAAGGTCATTTGTAATTAGCATCACAGTAGGTTTCTAGCAAGCCACTTGTAAATAAGAAAATAACAACTGATTGCTTTTAAGTGAACAAATTTCTTCCAGCTTTTGACAAATGGATGTAGAAAGTAAAGGAAGGAAAAGAAAAGAAAAAAAACATATATTGTTACATTCATTTTCAAGGGGGAAATTTGTAGTAACACATGCAGCAACTGGTTTTATTTTAGAAATTACTTACACCACACACACATACACACTTATTTGTATGAGAGGTTTGACACTCTTAAGTGAATCACCTGGAGATGCATTTTTAAAAGCAGGTCAGAATAACTTAGAAGAAGTACCAAGCCTTATTACTGGTGAAACACTTAGGATTGCCTTTATAGAGTAAAGGTGGCTAACCTTTTACATTCCATCCAGTAATTTTTCTAAAACAATTTAAATTCCCATTAATTTTTGTAAAAAATGTATTACCATATATACTGAAGGATAAATCACACTTTATTTCACCAAAATTTCAATAAAAATCAGGGATGCAACCTGTCCACTCAACATCATAGAAAATCTGAAGTAGACTGTGGCATATCAGTAGTCTAGGCAAGTAAACAAGAGCAAGGGAGAAAATGAATTTTTCCCGAAGTTCAATTTTGCACACTTGCCTCTTCCAGGATGTCAGACATCAAATAAAAGCACTCAATCTGCACTGTTTTACCATTTATTATTTGATTTATGATTAAAAACTATCATTTTCAAGTGATTTTAGGATTGAGGCGATTACCAGTATCCAAATCTTTGTCTAAACAAAGCAGCATCACACTCAATAAGTAAATACCATGCAATTAGAACCAATCACTTTTCTTATGTTTTAATATATGTAAGCAAAGTTTTGAAATAAAGGTGAATATTTGAAAATATTTAACAAATATTAGTTATACTTACATTAAAAAAGGGTCATGTAACACCCCATATTATTGTGACCTGTGAGTCAACCACAAATACTCACTTTGAAAACCTCAAACTAAGGGTGCAGCCTATATGCAAGTATATATGATAGATCATTGAAAAAGTTAGTGCCTGATTAGAAAATATAAAACAAAATTTTATATACTCACAAGAAAACATTTATTGGTTAAGTACATCATCTTCATTGTCTTCCATCTTTCTACAAAATTGTTGATATCATTTTTGTAGAAAGTTTGTTTTTATTTTTGGAAAAAGGTTGTGAGATAGTTTTCAACTGATTGTACAGAATAAAATTTTCTTTATCATTTAAATTGTTCTGTTGAGATGTGAACAAATGAAAATCTGAAGAAACCAAGTCAGGAGAATACAGTGCATCTTGATTATGTCATTCTCTTCAAGTTACATGTGCTATCCATTTTAGTTATTGCTACTGTTGGTAGTCCTTGAGTGATTTCTGTTATTTGGTACAGTTCTTTGTAGTGCCAGCCCACAATGTTAACAGAAGAATAATCTTTTCCAAGACCCTCAGGCTTTACTTATTCAAAGCCTTTTTTCACCTTTCATCTAAGAAGCAGTTGTATACTGCTGAAAGTTTAGATATTTTTGAACAGGCTTGGTGCCATGAATGGCATCCATATGAAAGACGAGGCTATTTAAGAACATGACTCAAGTTTTCATGTTGATATTTTGTAGCAATTTACAATGTTTTGGGGCAAAACTCCCTCTGGCACAGCCTATTCTATGTCCCATTTCTTTTTCACCTATAATTAATTTGTTATAGCTAATCCATATGCTGAGGTATTTGAAGTGTTTAGTATTTACTAAGTATTCCACATCCCATATTTTTGTGACATTATTGTGACACTGGTAGTATAAAATTAGGATTAAAAGAGTTCATATGAAAACCCTGTATAGGAATTGGAGAATTGGAAGGGTTAAAAAATATTAAAATAACTAAGGTGAAATCATGAATTGAAATATGGACCAAGTAAAAAAAGATAAATGTTTTTTTTTCCAGATAAACTGATGGGCAAATAGAATTGCTATGAATCTGCAAAGCTGAAATGTAAGCAGTCTAAAATGTCCTGAGGAATGTGAAAATTCTTTGATATCAGAAAAATAGAAATAAGTTTTAAAACACAAAATTTTGTTATTGGAAACTTATTGTTGTCAGAGAATGTATTGTTTTGAATAACTGATTGCTTTGTTTGTGGATCAATGTTGTTCTCCACAACTGGAGAAAATAATTGATATGAATATTATCAGCTAAAAAAGATTGAATTATTATAAATCATGAAGCCGATGATGTAAGCAGTCTAAAATATGTCCTGAAGAATGAGGAATGTGAGAATTCATCAGAAAAATAGAAATAATTTTTGAACACAAAAGTTTGTTATCTGAAAATTATTGTTCTCAGAGGATGTATTGTTTTGAATAACTGACAGCTTTTAGGATTGGTTTCATTTCTCCAAAGTTGAAGAAAGTAATTGATATGAATATTGATGACTCCTGAGACATGATAGGAGTCAGGTGAAATACGTATAAACAGAACACTTAGTTGAAGCTAGCAGTTGAAGTGAGAACCAAGATGAGTCAGCAGCAGATAAAGGAGCTGCTGAACTCCACGTGACCTTTTATCGACAGAATTCCCAACTGACCACCTTGTGCATGTTTTTAACCTGCTCCAAGTCTTAGAAAAGATAAAATGTCTTGATAGAGAGTTTAGTGGGAAGGGTTAATTTTGTTGTATTAACAACAATATACACCCAGCAACCTTCTTTCTTATTTTGTTATGATATTTGTATTGTGTATTGTGCCAGCAGACATGTTCTTTGTCCTTCTGTAGCATGGTTCCACTAAAGCTTGTTTCGGCACTCAAGTATGGATGAAACTCGGTCTTCACTGCTCTGTGATCAAGGAACACAACATAGGGAAGAGTTGATGAAGGAATGAAATGACCAGCAGATAACCATCATTTGACTGGACACAGTACTGACCAGTGTGGGAAAGACCCAGGCTTGAGCCGGGCCGGGCCGGTCATGTTGATATTTTTATGATGGATTCAGAGTAGGTGCCATTACTATTGTCATTCCAACTCCAGATCATAGTTTCTGTTTTGGAAAGGAATAGTCATGTATTTTGCAATTAGATAAAAACCTAAGGATACGTTCTTGCTTGTATCTTCATGGAAGGAAGATTAGCAAAGTGAAAAGAAAAAAAAAAATTAATGCAATTCTTAACTGATATGAAAGAATAAAAAAGCAAAGAAGGCTGAATAATAAATTATAAAAACTGCATTGATTGAAATCAGTTGTAACTAAATTTAACAGCAAATATTTTGACATTTTCTGGCCATTTAGCGATGTAGATCAATAATAATATAACTCTATTACATTACAATCTCTTATATTTCCGAATGTTTTCATTTTAGAAAAAGCAGCTTAAATGTTAAGGGTATTTCAGAGGGTTTTCTCTGTGAATTTCTGACATGAGAAGTTATCATTACTTACATTCAAACTAATAAACTCATTTTTGCTGTTATCACGGCATTTTGGCTGTTGCATCCTTCAGCTTTCTTCAGGTGTCTGTTGATCCAGAGGATTTCAAACTGAACCCTTTATTTAATTTACAGGGGTAGATTGTTCTTGTTCCTTTGACCATGTTTAGGGATATCTCATCTTGTACTTTTAGTACAGAAACAGAGCAAGCAATAGTTTTATTGCTTGCTCTTTTTCCACTGACTTTATGTCTGTACCACCTGATTCAGGAATTGAACTCACAATGACTATGTCAATCAAATTCATGAATCACCACTTTAATTTACTAGGATAATAACAACAAAGATGAGAACATTAGTCTGAATGTAAATAATGTTATAGCCTTGTTGAAAATATGAGGTTTTGTTTTAATTATTGTCATATAAAAGTATAGATTTTTTTTTTCAAGTGACTATAAAATTATAAATTGGTCAGGTAACATATGAGTGTTTGGCAAAACTAAAGGAGCCCTCTGAATATTAAACACAAATCCTGGAGATTTTTGTTCCTTTTTTTTGTTGGGATAAAATGAATAAATGACAAATTGATTCCAAGCATTGGTGCCAGTTTGTCTTTTCATGATTTGTTTGTGGATATAAAAAGTTCCAAAGTGACATTTCAATCAACTGTTAGCCAAGTGTTAATATCCAAGGAAACATACTGAGTGTACTTACTGAGGAAACATATTAATAACACGTTCAGGTATGAGACGACCAAAAGACACAACCACACCAACATCGTATTTGTCTTTCATGGTAGGAATTGGCCAAGTGTGAATGGCCAAGCGTTGTTCTTTAGCAAAACTTCGTACTTTGCACTGAAAGAAGAAAAGAAAGAACCATTTGCCTTATTGTTTAATCATTCTAATGCTGTGATGAGAAATCTAACATTTTCTTAAAAAATTTTAAATTACACATTAATTTTAATGTAATCGTTTACAGATTGTAAGCATAAATCTTTGAGAGTCTGTATTGTGGCAGGTCTGCATTATGTTCCAGATAATTTTTTAGTTCTGTTGGTTTTTATTTTGTTCTTTTTTGCTAATTATTCATCCAAGGCCCATGAACCACTCACGGTAGAGGTTTACTGTTTGAGGTTGTTGCTCACAAGAGCAGGCTGTAGGGAGTGCAGTTTAAGAGGATATGTAGGAAAGATATCTGTCAACCCTTGAATTAACAAGGTTAAGATTTTGGGATTCAAGTTCACCCCATATGTCAAGTGAAACTCATATAAACAAACCATTGCTAAAGATGCTTGGAAAATGGTCAGTTCCTTGTACTGCTCCAGTAAGTACCCAACTGCTAGGCTTTATCTTTACAAGAGATGAATCAAACGAAAAATAGAGTACTCCTGCCATATATGGACTGGAGCTACACAGTCCTCATTTTCCAGCCTTGATAGAGTTCAGAAGCATGTTCACAAACTTATGGATGATGAAGTATTTACAACCCCTATTAGCTTAGATTATGGATATAATTTACTTTTGGTCCTACTGTTCTAAATAAGGCAATATGTATGGCTGAGAAAAAAGTTAATATTTAGTTCTTGTGTATAATACGCACCCTTCACTTTTAGTCATAAAAATCTGAGGAAAGTATTGGTATTATACACAGATAATTAGGTAATCTTTTCTTTTTAAGCTTCTATCAATTGAAATTATGAAAATTAGTTTTTAGTAGGAATTGACAAAAAGAACCAAAATTTAATCCTATATTAAATTATGTCATTCTCTCATGTAAGTTTTGTTTTTTTATAGATTTAGATTAAGTAAACTTTAAATTTGTATTTTTTTTCTGTATGTGTGATCAGTGCCTGGAAACCTAAAATCTACAAATTTCCCACAGACAAAATGTTGCTAGCCTCTTGCTACTCTATCACTTTTTTATGGAAGATGTTCAGATGAATTATATTCCTTGGTTCCATCAGTCCAGACATTCACAGCTAGGACCTGCCAGGCCATATACAATGACTTGTCATCCTCATTCTGTCCATATACCATTGGTGAGGAGGAAGTTGCACTCAGATGGCTTCTTCCCCAGAACTGTTGCATTATGGAATAGACTCTTGAAAGGATGCTTCCCTGAACACTACAATCTTAACCTCTTCAAATTTAGGCTCAAATGCTAACTATCCTACATATCCTCCTCATAATATGCAACACTTCTTGCTACCTCCAACTGAACACTCTTACAAAACATCATTTAGTAACCTTTTATTCTTGAATTGCTCTTGCGCCTTGTATTGGATGAACAATAATAAATAAAAAATTTAATTGTTGATCTTCAAAGCAGGATAGTTTTCACTATTGGGAAAACTGGAGCAATACAATCTTCCTACATAGTCTCTCTTTCCTCTCATCTGGTGAACTGAATAATTATCTACTCCCTCTCCAAGCTCAATTTATGATAACACAAATTGTTAAGGAAAAGAGAAGCAACCAATTAAAAAAAAAACATCTCTGTAATCTTGAATATAATGTTTTAACCCTGCCCATCCTGCCAGCAGAAGCAATAACACACAGTAAATAAATTTTCTTTATGGTGTCAATAAAGAGAAAAAAATAGTGACCCCTATTTCTGAAACATGAAACAGATCAGTTTCCCAATCTGGGTCATATCACCCACCAGCGGGCAATTTCAACTGTTGGGTGGGAGTTGAACAACTGAACAGAAAATGCTGAGCAGTTGGAAATTATGGTGGGCAATATAGGATTTTGAGTAATAAAAATGCATTTCAACACATGCTACCCCCCAAAAAATATTTAAAAGAGATATACAGAGAACAAAAAAAATAAAATAAAATAAAAAACAGGAGACTAAATGGGAACAACTGTGTGACATTCCAAGATAAAATATAAATATTCCTGCAAACAAGGAATATTTTGGTATTTTTTATAGTTTTGAGGATCATTAACATTCAAATAGTTCTTCAAAGAAAATAATATTTTTTTCCCAGATATAAATTAGATAAGAGAAGAACAATCACAACTTTGCCAATAAAATTAAAAAGTGACCTCAAAATAATTTTTTTTTAATACAAAATTATATTTACTTTTGTTATCACATTGGCCATTCCAAATTCATCAAAGCAAGAAATTACCTGGTGAATCATAATTTATCTATCACTGTATATTTTGAATATTTACTATACAAATTGGTAGTGGAATATTTTTCTATATAAAAGTGGGCAATGATGCAAAAAAGGTTGGGAACTTCTGAAATTGATGATGCATGCTTTTTACTGTTATGAGTTTGCTGGCTGGTCAAAAGAGCTAATAGCATTTGACGTTCTTTTATCTATCAGTGTTAGTTTGGTTTCCCATTGATAAAAAAAAAGACATTGCCAAACATGATTTTTTTCCATCGCACGATATACCCTGCACTTCAAGGAGACAAGAGTCAAGGATATATATTCATTTCAGAATTAATTTTCCTCTGTAAAAATCATCAGACTTAAAATAATCCAATGAGGCGTCAATAGTGAAAAAGATATTTAAGATTTAAATTTTCTATGAAATAAAAGTGCAACATTAAAAACAAATCAAAAAGAGAAATTTGAGAAGATACTTTCAGAAACATTAAAAGAAATCCATCAAGAGTTTATACTGATTCAGAAATCTCCAGACATCCACACTTGACCGAACTGCAACATTGATGCTAGAATTTATGATTTACATTCATTTTCTCTTAGATTTCTACAAGCATCAAAAGCAGCCAATTGATTGGACAGCAATATATTTATGCTTTGTTTGAAGAAATGATTGTTTTTCCCCTCAACTTTTTGATAAAATTAGAGAATCCATTTTCCTCCTGTTTATTCTTTATTCCCAAAATATGTATGTTAAATGGCATTATAGAAAATCAAAAATAGACATTAATAATTTATGCTAAATAATTTCTGTATATTTGTTTTATTTATTATCACAAATTCCACTTTGATGAAATGATCATTAATATCAAAATATTAGATGTTAATCTATTTAATGGAGATTACTAATATCATATCATGTACACCCCCAGATAATTGGTGAGCAGTGAAAGAAAGGTTTATTCTTTCAGTTTGCATTTCCCCTATTACTGGCATTATTATATCCATGATATAATATCACCTCATTTCATGGACAGAAAAAATAGATGGAAGAAAAGGAATGATAGTTTTTTTTTTTTCTCAGAGAGCATTTTATATCACTAGATCATACACATATTTACACATCTCCCACACAGAGAAACTATAAGATGTATGCAACAAAAAGCAAGAGAACAAAATGATAGGATCTTATATTAATTCCCAACAAGTTTTGGTGTCTGCCAGAGATTCTTCTGTTTCTGGAAAAGCTATATTTAGGATTCCAGATTCACACAGACTGGATTTATTTGGTATGTCACTAGCAAGGAGATACTCCTCTCAAAAAAGGGAACAGCAAGTCCTGGGTTTTTTCCAAATTGAAAACTGCGAACCCAAGATGGTTTCTATATCTGGTGAAGATATATTTCCATAGGAAAACAGTGCCATGGGCATGTAAGCCATCTATGTGGCAGATGACTGGTGCAAGCAAGGCAACTGCTCAGTTTGACTCCTGAAAACTGACTGAAGGACTGACCACTTTCATCACTGTATGAAATGACGTCACTAAGTGGCCATCATGTGACCCATGTTACTCCATATCAAACAAAAGGATTAATTACCTCTTGTATCCCTACATATTTGTCAAAGTTGAACTTAAATCGATTGTTATCAGCAAAGTTTATTTACAGAGGAAAATCAAACTAATCTGAAATATTTAATATAACTAGCAAAGATATATGACAAATGAAAAAAAGAAAAAAATACTAACTGGATATGCCTTGCATGCCACTTCAATTGATTTCACACATCTATTGCCACTGCTTTCCCTGCAATAAAGATGACAATAAGTTGTTATAGAAATCATTTACAAATGGAAACATACAACATATATGAAGGTGATAGATTTTGAGAAAAATAATTGACAGACAAAAGTTCCCCAATATTTGAGATGGAAAATTATAACAGTGAAGGGAATTTCCAGTATTCAAAGATATGTTTATCACATTAATAAATAATCACCTGGTTTAAAAGCAGCCAAACAACCAAATATTTGCAAAATCCATGATAACCACATTAATTAACATTTAGCCCTTTTTTGGTGACTTTGTTTGCTGAGCAAAAATTTTGTCCTGCCTTTTCAAGCAACTTCAAACAATAATAAGCAGTTGTGTTTTCATGTCCTGCTATGACAACTGGAAAAACAACCTTGATTGAAATCAAGACTTTTACTACAACAGTGGAAAGACTGCCATTAGAGAGAGAAATAATACTAATGAATAATTCAGAGTGCTAAAGATTCAGAGTAAATAACAATTCAGAAAGAATCTGTTTTTAAGAAGAATAACAATTATTTTTTTCAGATACAAGTCTTACTATTTAATCCATAGTTTTGAGCAGGAGATGGAATCATACCTTTCGCAAAGGTATTTGCATGTAAGTGAATGTAATGAACTTGACTGGAACTGAGCTGTCTAATTTCTTATGCAGACATGGAAACAGTGACAAAAATGACTACATTTTCTCTTTTGAGATACCTGAGGCACCAGGTATTAACCTTATCCCTCCCCTTTGAGAGTAGTAGTACAGGAGAAGATGGCTCCTTGGAGCTGAGCATTCTATAAATGAATTTAGGATGTGGCACAAGGCTAAATTTAAAGTGTGAGTTTCGTGTATGCATAAGACTAGGGATAGAAACTGTTCAGTACACTTGGCACTTCCATTTTGTGAGATGCCTCAGGTGCTAAGGATTAACACTTGAGCTGAACATGTTATGTTCTGAGTTAAGCAGGCAAGGTCTAGAAGATATTTATCTGCACCCCCACTAAAATGGGATGTGGCACAAGGTCAAATTTAAAATAGGAGTCGTCCAATGCATATGTGAGACCAGGAATAAATATTGTACAAACCCTTTCAGAATTTCTCTTATTTATATAGTCCCCAGAGTAAGAGTTAATTTTCAGAGAAGTTGGGTAGGAAGGTTTTACTTTGGTAGTAGAAAGTTCTTATGGAGACATTTCTTATGGAAACATCCTTCTATTTAGGTAACTCCAAAAATTTGTTAAAAATCATGTTTTTCTTGTGTCAACATGGGACAATAAATTTATACAAGAAAATTGAGCATCTTTTTGCAGAGAAAAAAACATTGATTTAGAAATTCTTGAAAATAATCAGATAAATGTCAAATTCAATGAAATTTTCAGAAATTAATGAACTTATTTTTGAAACATCTCTTTTTTTGAAATCCTTTTTAGAAAATTCTTTTCTGCAGTGTTTTATAAGAATAAGTCCTCAGAGAGCTTAAATCATCAATTTCTTTTTGTAAAACAGGAACCCCAGTTACAGAAAATCTATTCTGAATGATAAACACTCTTAATTAATTTTATGAATAAAGTATATTATGGACACTATTAAGAAAAAAATTGTCATTTTTTATGTGCGTGTATAAACATGTTGATTTTTGTTAATACAGACATTCATACAGAACATTATAAGGAAAGCAGAGCAGCAGTAAGTATAGTAAATTTAAAATTTATTGGTAATTTTCTAACATTTTCTCAACAAGCATTTTTGTAAGTAACGCTATAAAACCAAAATACGTAAAATTCAATAAAATATTAGATTGCTTAGAATATTTTGAATTTCTAACATTATTGGGTAGTTAAAAAAAAAATTATCAAAAAAGGCATTCACTTTATGTTTGTAAAGTAATTTTATTTCTATTATGTGCCTCTTATTTAAATTTACCAAACATCAGGCTGTCAATACATCCGTTAACATGTCAAAAACACTCCATCCTTTTAAAAAAAAAAAAATTTTCTCCAATAAGTAAAAATAAGTAATATTGTATTCATTATGTAATTCTTACAATTATCTACTCCTTACATAAATTTCCCAAATATCAAGTTGTCAAAATTGTCAACACCTCTTAAAATCACCCACTTACATATTAAAAACTGCTATTCTGCATTATTTCAAACTAAAATTAATATTTGCTTCAATTCAGATGAATTAAACTTTAAATCAGCTAATATTTCTCAAATAATGTTTCAGAAAAGTATATTTTATTTTCAAAAGATTTTTTTAATAAAGAGAATTGTGTTGATAGATTTGTCAATATGGATCAATTTATAGATTTTACTGATAATCAAAAAAATGGTTTCAATCAATTTAAATTTAAATTTGCTTTGAAATACAGCAAAGTATTTTGCATATTGGAAATATTAAATTTAAGCTTGAAATTAAAACTAAAATTAAAGATTTTCATTAAATCTTAAGTACTTTTTTTTGAGGGGGGGTAACTACTTTTATTTAAGTGCCTTTTTTAATGACAGGTGGGAAGGGCTTCCCAAGCTACACTTATATTAAACTTATAATTTTTCTAAAAATGATGTAAAGAAACACTGAAACTTTCAATCCTTGTATGTGAGTCACATCTAACAGTAAATATATTTTTCAAAGGTCATATTTTATGTTTTAAAACTCTTTGATCTATAACATTGATAGTTTATAATTTCAATTACATTAACTGGTTTTTGAGATTCTAGAAAATGAATAAATAGCAAAAAAAAAAGGATGGGAAGCAAATTTTTAACATAAGAAATGGATATTTGACCTTAGTTAAAGAAAAATGTAAGGTTGTAGTATGACAACAGAAATAGTATGACATGCCTGGTTAAGCATGGAGAATATACTGACAATAAATGTGGACTAAATTTTTAAGGCTTACAAAAATGTGAATTGTGTTTATTTTCTTTTTGTTTTTAAATAGGTGCCTCCAAAGATTTGCTAAAAAAATGAGTATACATGATGAAACTGCCCCAAATTTAATAAAAATAAAGTTTTATTGTAAAAATATTTGTTTAATATATATTTAAAATGATTTTTTGATTATTACATTCTAATTTTAGTCCTTTTTAGAAGCTTCAAAATTTTTGTTACAAATTTTTTTCTTTGCGTCAGGTGACCATAAATTAGTATAGGAAATTTTAGTGACTTTAATGGTGAAAAACATTGATTTGGAAATTATTGAAAAAATCAAATAATTATCACATTTTAATGAAACTTTCAGGTCTTATGTACAAATGAATTACATTATTTTAGAAGCTTTTCTTCTTTAGAAAATCTTTGGGAAAAAGATATTTTGTACATCTGTTACTACACCTCACTATTTAATTTTATGAAATTTTGAGAAATTTTTGTATTGCTTAATGGTTATATCAGATAAAAGTATTTGGAAAATTTAAATCACCATTTTTTCCACTAAAACATGACTCCCACAGTTACAGAATATCTCTGAATTATGAAATAAAAAAAGCACAAATACTAAGATATTTTTTAATTTGAGAAGCTTTCTCTTTTAGGAATAAGATTTTTTTTGATCAAGTTCACCTCAAGCAAGGCAGTAAATCCACTAAGACACAAGGGCTTTATGGGTGTGGAAGAATTAGAAAATAGAAACATTACTATGGAGCGAGAACAAAAGAAGAGAAATCCGGATGGCAGTAGATAGTGATTGACATTGCATTTATATTTATGAAGATTAAAGTTAACTGGAAAGCATGGAGCCGCAAGGAAATTCTACAAGTGCAAAAAAAGAAGCTGTTAGCATAGAACTTACACTTCCATCTAGCTAATTCAGCTGGAAATTGATGAGACCTTGTTGCCAATCTAGTACTGTGCTTAAATTCATAAAGTCTAGGTACCCTAGTGAAGTGCTCATCTAAACAATTACCATGTAAGTATTTATACAAAAAGAAATACAGAAAAAGAAATTTTATGGCAACAGGAAAGTGACTAAAGTCAAGATGCCAGATCAAGAGTGATAATATTACTGATTCTTCTTTGGATTTTATTAAGCAGCTCTGAATATATAGCAGAAGCACTGGACCATATATGGCAGTAATATTCTAAGATGAATGGTACACTTTAGATATCAAGATAGATTCTGAAGAAAAAATTTGTCTAGCACAACACAGTGAACCAACTTTCTTAGCAGCTGACATAGCAATGGCTTCAGTATAATCTTTTCATTTCATGTCAACCAAGAACATTAGCTCAAGAAGGCGCAATGCGTCACTCTTCTGGAGGTTAGCATCAGCCATACTGATGGAAGGCAGAAAGAGGTCTCCCAGAGGATTAATAGAGAGCAGCATAGTTTTGGAGGCATTAAAATTAACAAGACATCCTTTGTCCCAGTTAATAACAGACTGTAAATCATTTTTGTAATCAGCTGACCTTATCAAACTGATCAAACTTAGTATTGGGACAGGAGTAAATGGTAGTCATTAGCTGATATTAAGCCATTGCTATGTCAGCTGCTAAGAAATTTGGTTCACTGTGTTGTGCTAGACAAATTTTTTTCTTCAGAATCTATCTTGATATCTAAAGTGTACCATTCATTTTAGAATATTACTGCCATATGTGGTTCAGTGCTTCTGCTATATATGGTGTTGACTGAATGTCCAATAATGGCCATCAATATCAGATATCTTCCATCAACCATTGGTTGTAGCGATTTCTATGGTTGTCAAAAAGTTCAGTCAAATGCAACTGAACATTGCAACTGATCTCAAATTAGCAGAAATCTGCTGAAGGAGTTGGTATACCATGGCCAACAGCAGCATTGACAGTTATATAATGAGAGAGATGACAACTTTAACAAATCATTTATAACAAGGTAATATTAGAAAAAAAATACAAGTTTAAAAAAACCGTGGGAGTGATGGTTGTTTATACTTTAAGACTTGGGCCCTTAGTTGCTCACTCTGGGCATCTAATTGTTGATACACAATCATGAATTCAGGAGGTAGCCTAGTCAGTTTTTAGG